CCCGGATGTCATCGTCCATCACAATGTTTCACTGTAGACATCGTCCGATGCCAATTTGGTAGACATCGCCCGATGCCAATTAATAAAATATATATATAATTGGCAGGTGATAACCTCACCTGGCATCTGACCAAACATATTGGCCAATCCCCCTAGAGTTTCTCTATCCAGTTTCATCCTGTTCGGCATGAAGGGGCCTTCTAGGAAGAAGTCCATTCTAATTCCCTGGTTCATGGGTGGAATGAAAACACCCAAATCCTTTTGAGAGGGAAAGATAAAGACTTGTAATAAACAACATTTACGTTATTTTACATCAGTTTGTAACAGAGTCAGTGACTCCTTGCTTGAAGATAATTGGTGACATTTTTGTAAAAGTAAAAAAAAGAAAACCACGCTGACTCACCTTCACTGCATCTTGACGAATCTGGTTAATCGTCTTTGGTCCATTGTCGATGAAAGCTTTGCGAGGGACCCAATTGTTCTCTCTCAGCTCCATGGTGTCCTGCAGTAGGAAACGAATCCTTGCAGGCAAATCCTTGTTGTTCATTAAGGATTGTATCCGGCCAAAGTACTGATCCATTAAAGACTGTGGGAAAGGCAACAATGGATGAGAGATCATGCCTACAAATGACACTTATGTATAGTGTTAATTGTTAGCTATTTTTAATTTAGTCCCGTGTCAAATGTAACTTAGTTTTGATCATATTTAGTCAACTTGTCCTGTTTTAGTTTTAGTCGACTAAATGTCTGAGAATTTTAGTCTAGTTTGTCAGTGGAAACAAACATTTTCGTCTCACTATACTATACTTAAGTGTTAAAATGATGAAAAAAAAAATTGCTCAATTTTAATTGCAATGATTGTGGTCATTTGAGAAATTTTTACATTTCATCAGAAGTTGCTCTTTCACCAATAAGCCCAAAGCAATAAATATTGACTCGTATGCATGGTATCTTTTACCTCATCTAACGTTAGTGTACAGATTAATAACAGGATATCAATTAGAGGCTAAATAAACACCAGACTTTCTCTGGTATATCATATTTTCACATAAATGACATTTTGGAAACGATTGCATTGCAACGCAGTTTGTGCAAGTCCAGAACAGAGACGAGTTGCTTGCAATAAGACAAAAAACGGCCAGTTGCCGATCGCGTAAATTCCAGGGGAAGTTCCTTAAGTTTGGCCATCCTACACACACGACTGACCGCTTGCACCAACAGGAGGAGGGGGGTCGTGTTACTCTCTACACTGCACTCAACCTGAGGGATTCCTACACTTTCAGTCTTTGAGGAGACATGAAAAACAGCACATACTGCTGGAATGGTATAACGGAAAATATTAGCGGTTTTGAAACCGTGAAATTTTCAAATCACATATATCTTGAAACCGGTAATCGGCCCATGCCATGACATTATTCCAATCAGTCAAGGTCTGGTTCTTACAAATAAAAGGCCAATTTCTAGCAAACAGACCAATTTCAGACACAAGGTGAAATAAGTACATCATTCAAGGATCAATTTCAGAAAGAACACAAATTGCTTCATGGTTGAAACTCATCCCTTACAATCCAACAAAACCACAAATCAACTCTAAACATTTGTGCACTATAATCATATTTCTTGATGAAAAACGAATTTAAAATATAAGACTGTGTACTTTAAACTTGTTTACGTGTGACAAGATCATTAAAAATAAGAAAGATTAATTGGTGTTTAAATATTTATCAATCACCATTCACACTGCTGAACAACAATAATGGTTTTTGGGTCAGGTGGTACCTTGGCTTTTTCATGGTCGAGTCTGGGCCCCACAGTCCTCATTATCTGACAGAGACACTCCAGATCCTCTCCCATGTCCTTGAGCTGGACCCTCTTTTTTTTCTCCAAAAGCTACAGATAGGGTACAGAGGTAATCAAAATCACTGTGCCACCACTAACCAAAGCACATAATGGAGTGGAACTAATAGACTGAAATGCTGAGAGGAATACACACTGTTTTGATGCACTTATGAAGGATAGATTCATGGATGAGGTCAAGTTTGCAGAGTTCTCCAATGAATTTGATATTGCCAAGCATCTTGATCTTGGCAATGGCACGCTGCTCCTCTTCCTCAGAGGTGAGAGGGTTGTCTTGTTTGTCATAGACTAAATGAAGAGACAGCCGAATGTTAAAAACCAGCAACACAGCATAAGTCTTGCAATAAAAGACAAAACACCTATGATGTTTGAGGGGGAGTGACTCACTGTCAACATTTTTGGTGCGGTTTTCAAATTCATCTTGAAGCTTGGTAATTAGAAGTCTTCTGAAAGTCTGCAGGCAAATACATAGTACGGTGCACAATTTGAAAAAATGAAATTACAGGGGCAATTAATTTGGTATCCAATGATTTGTTTAGGAATTAATACACCGCTCTTTCAGATTCAATAAAACGTAAGAAATACGGTTATGCCATAGAATTTATAATGGGATTCAGGTACTCACTGTGCTCTGCTTTTGTGATGACTGTATTTCAGGTGTTTGGCCATCAAATTTTGGTGCATCCTCTGCCAAACGCAGACATAGCTGAGCATAGAGCGAGCTGTATTTGGGCTCTTCTAGGGCTTTGTCTACGATCTACAGGATAGATGACAGAATTAATATGTAACCAGTTTTTCCTGTAATAGATGAATATGAGTAATGTATGTCGATATCTATAGGTTTATTTCATTATCCTAACATGTCTGGTATGAACAGGTCAAAATGCACTGTTGTTGCATTAATGGTCAGAATCAGCATTAAACCATTGAGAACTTTTTTTTTTTAGGAGTAGCGAAGGAATTTGGCTTACGAGTAATATCCGAGCAGGTTTGTAAGATAGGCTACATTCTAAATATTTGGTTTTATTATTATAATTATCACCAGTGAAACTCATGATTTTGATTTCACGATTCGATTATAATTTTTTTTAACAAAATTAGATTTAAGAAATTATAAATTAAATGTGTCCTTTTATTATTGCTTGGACAAAATGCTGCACATTTCTTTGTGAAATTGAAATACTATAATAATATACTTATAGCACTTGCATATTATTGCTCTTTTGTTGGTTTTGATTGCTTCTATTGTCCTCATTTGTAAATCGCTTTGGATAAAAGTGTCAGCTAAATTATAAAATTTAAATATAATGTAAATGAAAATAACAAAACTAAATTGAAATTTTAAAACAAGCCCCAAATCAAATAAATAACAAATAAAATAAATATCTTCATATAAACAAACTAAGGCTTTGTCTGCAGACACACGTGCTCTTTCCACTTAAAATTAGAGGCAACCACTGCATTTTAATCTTGATCCAAACAAAGACGCTGCATACATGCAACATGAGCAGTTTTTAAACTAAATTAGATTGTATAGTTTCGAAATTTGAAGCAAAAACAGAATGGTTTGACTTCAGTTTTGTGAAACTATAAATAAAAATATCTGCATGAAACAGCAAAGCTGAATGAGATGCAGATTCACTCTCTGCCAGCAGGTGGCGCTTAAAGCGTTACCTGGTTTCCGCTGTAAACAAAGCAGCGCTGAATTTACGAACTTTAATATGCGTTATACAGAGGCAAGATGAAAAGAAAAAAAAAATACAATCTAAACTTTTCTAAAAGACAGTAAATTCCCCTCAGACATACATTCCTATAAACTCCTACACCTAAATGAATCGTGATTTGTTTAGCATCTCAACCGATTTGAATCGTCACATATTTGAATCAATTTTCAACCGGCTCGCAGTTAATCGTTACATCCCTATTTATAATGTTACAAAAGATTGCTTTTTCAAATAAATGCTCTTCCTTTGATATGTTTAAAGAACCTTGAAACAAATGAGTTTGCACAAATATTACAAAGCACAACTGTTTTTAACATTAATAATAATAACAATAATAAAAAAAGAACACCAAATCGGTGTTTTATGGTGTGTGCACAACAAAAGCATCACGTTACTCGCTCTAGATTACTCGCAGACTTTTTTTTACGCATCACTTGCACTCCATTTTCTGATATAACCAAACGTGTCAAGCTCTTCACTAATTTTCAACTTGCGCTGAAGACGCGATTGAGGCGAATATTGTGCGTTTGCAGCCAATTGCGTCACCAGGCTTGAATCAATGTCTATTTGTGTGTTTGCATGTAATCTACTCACGGCGCAAATAATTAAATTATCTTTTGTTGAGCACACACCACTAGAATAATTTCTGAAGGATCATGCAACACTGAAGACTGAGTAATGGCTGCTGAAAATTCAGCTCTTCCATCACAGGAATAAATTACTTTTCAAAAATGTTATTAGAAGTTATTTTCAAATGTAATATCAGTACGTTTGTATGTTTCTGATCAAATAAACAATAGCATAGAGACTTCTTTCAAAAGCAATAAAATATATTAACACTATATATAAAAAAGTTTACACTTTTTAGCCATTCTACATAACCACACGTCTACCTGATTTGTTACATTTAAATGGTTTAATCAGATTCTTGAACACCATTATGAAACCTGGTAAAAAAAAAAAAAATTATACAACAGCCAATCATCAAACTATGTATACTTTAATATGTCACAAAATCATCTTACCAGCAAGATGATACCTTTGAGGACAAGTTTAGAGTCTACACCAACATTGAGAAGCTCAAGGCATAGCTTGTCAAATTTTTCAGGGGTCAGCTTATTAAGTATGCTAAAAGAGAGAAGCAAGAGCAAAGAATAAACATCTTGCAACAGTTAAAATAAAGACCACTGTTTACCACATGTAGAGATTTGTGCTTATCTGAGCATCAGCTGATCCAACCACAAAAACATGCTCACAAGGTTCAGAGCACAATAAACAAAAGAGCTCAAAAAAACTTTTTTTTACGCATCACTTGCACTCCATTTTCTGATATAACCAAACGTGTCAAGCTCTTCACTAATTTTCAACTTGCGCTGAAGACGCGATTGAGGCGAATATTGTGCGTTTGCAGCCAATTGCGTCACCAGGCTTGAATCAATGTCTATTTGTGTGTTTGCATGTAATCTACTCACGGCGCAAATAATTAAATTATCTTTTGTTGAGCACACACCACTAGAATAATTTCTGAAGGATCATGCAACACTGAAGACTGAGTAATGGCTGCTGAAAATTCAGCTCTTCCATCACAGGAATAAATTACTTTTCAAAAATGTTATTAGAAGTTATTTTCAAATGTAATATCAGTACGTTTGTATGTTTCTGATCAAATAAACAATAGCATAGAGACTTCTTTCAAAAGCAATAAAATATATTAACACTATATATAAAAAAGTTTACACTTTTTAGCCATTCTACATAACCACACGTCTACCTGATTTGTTACATTTAAATGGTTTAATCAGATTCTTGAACACCATTATGAAACCTGGTAAAAAAAAAAAAAAATTATACAACAGCCAATCATCAAACTATGTATACTTTAATATGTCACAAAATCATCTTACCAGCAAGATGATACCTTTGAGGACAAGTTTAGAGTCTACACCAACATTGAGAAGCTCAAGGCATAGCTTGTCAATTTTTCAGGGGTCAGCTTATTAAGTATGCTAAAAGAGAGAAGCAAGAGCAAAGAATAAACATCTTGCAACAGTTAAAATAAAGACCACTGTTTACCACATGTAGAGATTTGTGCTTATCTGAGCTTGAGAGCATCAGCTGATCCAACCACAAAAACATGCTCACAAGGTTCAGAGCACAATAAACAAAAGAGCTCAAAAAAACAGAGGCTTCTTTTTAGCTCCATCACTGCTGAAGTGAATATTCATGCTCCTTAAGGACACTCACCCTCTCACTTTCCTAAATATTGCATCGTGATGTTCTTTTTCATTGGAGGTGTTGACATCTCGTCTAGTGCTTCGTGAAGGAACCCATCTCTGAACGCTAGGCCCTGGGGTTTTCCCCAGGTACTCGCTGAAGGGAAACAGAGTGGTTAGAGTCTCCAAAGCATGTTACAAAGCTAGATTGTTCTTGACCTTAACAAACCATACCTGTTGCCGACAGTCCTTTTCAGGGGTCAGCTTATTAAGTATGCTAAAAGAGAGAAGCAAGAGCAAAGAATAAACATCTTGCAACAGTTAAAATAAAGACCACTGTTTACCACATGTAGAGATTTGTGCTTATCTGAGCATCAGCTGATCCAACCACAAAAACATGCTCACAAGGTTCAGAGCACAATAAACAAAAGAGCTCAAAAAACAGAGGCTTCTTTTTAGCTCCATCACTGCTGAAGTGAATATTCATGCTCCTTAAGGACACTCACCCTCTCACTTTCCTAAATATTGCATCGTGATGTTCTTTTTCATTGGAGGTGTTGACATCTCGTCTAGTGCTTCGTGAAGGAACCCATCTCTGAACGCTAGGCCCTGGGGTTTTCCCCAGGTACTCGCTGAAGGGAAACAGAGTGGTTAGAGTCTCCAAAGCATGTTACAAAGCTAGATTGTTCTTGACCTTAACAAACCATACCTGTTGCCGACAGTCTTGGGAAAGTGCTGAGATGCACCCCTACCTCCTCCTCCGCCCGAAGAAGCACTAGAATTATAAAAGCAATGCTAGATTAGACAACATCCGAAAGCCATTTGCACAACAACCACAAGACGATACATGACTGGACTCGTGGAAATCATTTTAAAAAGCAAAGCGGCAGAAAAATGAAATGGTGGACCAGTTAATACACTTAATGACTATCTTTAACATAGTAAGTATTATATATATATATATATATATCTATCTATCTATCTCTCTGAGTGACTCCATTTTAAGACACCTATTAAAAAGAGTCCCCCCAACTCGCTCAAAGTCGATCAATCTTCAATTTAAACATCCTTTTAAAAATTCAGGCAAATGCTTTACCCCTTGGTCATGAGATAAGTTAAATTGTTTGAACCATCCACTTGCTCAAGGCGACTGGTGTAGCGTCAACGCAGATGCTCGGGTCTAAAACGCAACTGAACCAGTGTGCAATAGAGAGAAATGCCAGTCAATATTGAGAATACGTCTATAAACATACAATCTCGACCTGAAAAGCTTCAACATTGGGAAAATCCCATTTAAATTAGGTGTCTCAAAACTAAGCCTTTTGTTGAACAAAGAATGACAAATATATTTCTAAGGCATTTTAAAAATATATATATTTTAACGCATCGCTAAGCTGTTTCTTCTACTGATGGGTAACAAGTTAAGAAAGACTGGTAATCAAGTCTTAGCCAATGCATAATGTTTGATCTTACCTGAAACGAGAAGCACCCCCTTCTGCAATCACACTCTCCACTTTGGCGGCTTGACAACGAAGAATCTTCAAAAGAATATTAATCAAAGGGCGGGGTGGGGAAATCCGAACTGTATTAGAGAAAGAAAGAAAAACAGAGAAAAAAAGTCAAGGAAACATGAGAAAACAACTGACGTGTTCAGAAATGGCTGCGTATCACACACACCGGAGGTACTAGTCTGATCAGATTTAACGATTTCCTCTTCCTCTAAAGATGAAAAGGCCTACATAAGAGATTGAGATTAAATATTATCAAAATAGTTTATAGTACGAATATATATGGTCTATAAATGGCTAAATAAATATACGAATATATAAATGATTAGTCTCCTTTCATTACAAAAGAGGCCAAACCTTTAGCTAACACAGTAGCAAGGCTAACAAAGAAAAACCAACAAACAATGATTAACGCCTTTCAGTTTTCATTATTTTGAAAGACGACCAAATCACTTAGGCTAACAACAAAAACGTAAACGGATATAACTCAACATTTCCACTATAAAAGCTTTTGCGTAATAGCTAGCTAACATGCGGTGTTTGGTCATATAACATTTTCCACGCTTCAGGACACAGGGAGAAGCCATAATAGCCATATTTATCAGTCTAACGAATGACACGTATATCACTATTTTGTTTTAACTTTAAAGCAAGCAGCAACACTCTCAGGTTTTGTTCTATAACGACGCCATTTTAAGCATTCCCAAACTCCTAACAGCAGCCATTTTATCTTACGTTAAATACAAAAAAAAACCTACCTTTACTAAAGCAACCTCAGTTTTGATTTTGAGTTTGTTCTTCTAAAAGAGAAAAGGGATGGGTATAAAAAAAAATCGATGTTTGAGAGAGTACTGAGATGGTAACCGGTCTGACACGATTGCAGCTCACTGTGGGTGAGAAATGTGCGCGCTCCTCCTCCTGACTGACTAACTGCTTGACGTCACACAGGAACTTGATGTGTATTTGTCAGGACTTTGTGTGCTGCCAGTAATTTTCCGTTGGGTACAGATATTTTGGAACGGTCTCCTACATTTTTATTTATTTATTTTTAATTTGTAGTTATAATTTTAGATAAACAAAACGGTTGATCATAAACTATGATTTACTTTACACATGGACATTGACAGGCATCCACTTATTATGGATGTTATTGAAGGTCTTCACTGATTGTATTTCAGAGTATAATGTATTTTGGACTCAATAAGTCTTTTCTGATTTCCTCAGATGAATTCTGAAAATCAGTCAATCAATCAATCAATCAATCAAGATCTGCATTGTTGTTACTCAGTGGAGCACAAAATAAAATTAAAAGCCATAAATGCACCGTATATGTAGTCCATACTTCCATATGGCAGTCATTTCATGGATTTATATTGCGTATTTGTTCTAGAGGTCCCGTTTGAATGATTTGAACTGATATAAATAATCTGATATAAACCTGATAAATCTGATATGTGCATGTTTTGCATAGTTCCATTATAGTGCAGTTTCCTTGATATTTTGTGAAGTTATAGTGACAGAGGTGTGTAGCTGCAATGTTTCCTGAGGCTGCCAAATGACTAGGTTCATGTTGAAATCTGCAGAGAAGCTGGTATTCTGCGAAATATTGTTAAATTAGGAAGTTGTTTTTATGCCTTAGAAACACAGCAAGTTTAAATCAATATAATTCATTTCAGACTTACAGTTTCTTCAAGGCGAGCACAGTGAGGGACAGGTTAACAGTTAACACATTAGGCTATTTTCTCTTCCCACTATTCAGAAACAACTACAACATATTACATTATTGGAATTAACAGGGCAGGACCTCCTGTAGCGAATCGATGGGTTTTTGTAGGAAAAATATCCATATTCAAAACGTAATAATCACTTTAATGTAGCTTGCTCCAACAGTTGTACACAGAAGCAGTTCCGGGAGCATGACGTATGAGTTCAGCTTTGCGCATGCGCCGGCGAGTCTCGTGAAAACGTCTCCAGGTTACGCATGTAACCATAGTTCCCCGAAGGGAACGAGACGCTGCGTCGAAATGCTACGGGAACGCCTCCAGCGTGACCACGCTCTGAATCACATGTGCAATCAGTCCAATGGATGGGTGAGACACCATGGGCGGGGTGACGTAGTGACCAGGAAACATAAAAGCACGTGCGGTGAAACCTGCGTCAGCTTCTAGGAGTGAAGCAAGCGCTGGCAGGGATGCCGGA